GGTCAGTGTATAAAAATGTAATCTCGCACGATTACGTGGTGACAGCTTCACCTTAGAGTTTTCAAACTCTGCGCTACCCAGCACCTGCACAATGGCAGCACATGCCTCATCGCGTGCATACGCCACACGGATACGATCCGTGACCAACGAACTCACGACAGTGAGATGAACAAGCTCATAGTCAGGTCTACGCAATAACGCGTCAGCCAAAATATTCTGTTTTCCGGCTTATACTTCACCTCGAAGTTAGACTCTGCACATAAGGAGAGCCAACGAGCCATTCTCTGCGAGAGATGAGGCGGCTGTGTCGCTGTGAGTAACGACGCATGATCGGTATAGATTGCAAACGGCTTGGAGCCCAACCGGTGTACCCTGAACTTAACAAGGGCATACTTCATCGCAAGTAGCTCATTGTCATAAACTGGATAGTTCTTCTCTGCAGCTTTCATCTGGCGAGACTCAAACGCGATGACGCGTTCTCGACCCTCAGAGTTAACTTGCAAGATAGCACTGCCAATGGCAAAGTCCGAAGCATCACATACGACGCTAAACGGGTGATCAGGATCAGGCAAAGCCAGAATTGGCGCCTGAAGGAGACTCTCCTAATGGCTTCAAAAGCCTCGTTGTTGCAACACCATTCCACATCTTGTTTAAGGCGACTTGACAATGGTCTAGCCACTTCCGCATAGTTGTGGCTATACTTGTGCAAGTAATTTGCCAAACCCAACCACTTGCGGAGGTCCTTGTGGTTCCTGGAAACCGGCCAATCCACTATGGCTTTGACCTTAACAGGGTCTGCCCGGATTCCTCGCTTCCCAATGAAGCATCCCAAAAACGGGAATCTATTCCGCACTGAAGATGTATTTGTCAATATTTGCATATAACTTATGCATCCTCATGCAACCGAGCACATCTCGCAGGTGCTCGATGTGATTCTCCACATCCATCTTTCCATTTTCGGCTCGATTATGGACGAATATATCGTCAAAGTATGTCTGTGCATACTCTCTATGGGGCCGAAACAACTGCGTCACCAGATGATTGAACGTTGCAGGTGCGTTATACAGCCCTCAAGGCATCACTAACCACTCCCAGAGCATACCTCTCGGAGTGCTGACTACTGTCAGCAGGATATCACTAGCTCGCATGAGCAGTTGTTAATATCCATTGACTAAGTCGAGGGCACTGTACATCGTACATCCCACCATATTGTTCTGGAGAATCCTTGCGAGGAATCGGTGTTTGAGCCGGGATAGTGGCTGCATTCAGCTTATTGTAAGCATGCACTATTCGCCACTTCCTATTGGGCTTTTTCACACAAAACGTGGGCGCAGAGAGTGGAGATTTACTCTCACGCACCATGACAGCCGCGATCTTTGCACGAAAGAACTCGTCAATGACGTCACATTGTTCTCGTGGCAGCGGCTACTGTCGCGTCACACAGTATTTGGTTCCTGGAACCAAGTCAATCTCATGACGTACACCTCTATCCGGAGGTAACCTCGTCGGAGGTTCTCTGGAGACAACATCTCCATATTCCTTCAACAAGGAAAATAAGGATCCGAAGGGTCCTTCAGGATCTGCGATCCACTGCGCGCATTCAGGACTTCTTGGTATCCTCAAGAACTGCTTTATCCAAAAGCGATGAGGAGTTTAACTCTTCCACAGGTCGTATAACGACCACTTCGGCGATGTCGCCTGCCTATAAGGCACTGCCAAACTCGGCAAAGGACAACTCGTCCAGCTCTAACAGAGCGCTTACTGCGGGTATTGCTGAAAGAACCACCGGCTCTTCAACATCCCCAGTCAAACCATTGACGATTGTATATAGCTGTTCGCTATCACCGTCACTCACGATATTATCATCGGTGCTCATGATGCTCTCAGCATCCGACGCATCAGCGTCCACAGGTGTACACACCGCAAGGTCAAAGACCACTTTGTTTACAGACTGCACCCCACCCTTTTGGGTCAATGCCTCGTCGTGAGGTGTTCGCACCTCGTTGTCCTCAAATACAACCGCCATTTTTGACTTCACTTAACCCTCTTGGGCCAGTATCTTGTCACTAGGTGCTTGCACCTCGTTATCCTCAAAGATAACAACCATTGATGACTTCACTCGACCCTCTTGGGCCAGTACCTCATCGTTAGGTGATTGAACCTCGTTTTCCTCAAGACAACATCCATTTGTGACTTCACTCGGCCCTCCAGGGTCATTTCCTCGTCACTCATGTCACTTAGACTCATGTCCTGACATCTTGGCTTGCAGCCACCAACACCACTCACGGTATTTAATGATGTAACATCATTCTCATGACACATGTCATATGTGCCAACTAGCGTGTTCTAAATCACACTATCGAATGTCATTGGGCCTCGTCCAGGACTATTGTCCTCGACACTTACAGTGTCTACAAAGTCGGATATATCGACATCCAACATATTGATCGACTCAGTCCAGTATCCGCGCCAAAAGCGCTTTTGCTTCCTAGCAGAGGTGGGTTCATGACTCTCCAGAGCCCCACCAGGAGCATTGCGCGTTGCGCCTAAGGTTTTCGACCTCCAATCAATCCATGGCTCATAAAGTTCTAGCCATGCCATGCCTAGGATGAAGTCATACCTCGCATCCAGGTCTAAGACCAAAAGCGTCCCATGCTGTTGAAGTCCAAGAACTTTACATTTAAGTCCATCGGGACTTTGGGTACCGTAACACGCGTACCCGTCGCTAAGCGAACTGTGACTGTGTCACTCTCACGCGCTACAAGCGCTTCTGCATACTGCTGACTATCTTTCACGGTGGTACGGCGCACATAATTGCCCGATGCCCCCAAATCGATCAAAATGATCCATGGCTTATCAAAGCCCTTAATCGTCACTTCGACGACTAGCAAGCCTAGCTTGCATTCTCGTTCCGTTTTTGAGAGTTCGGATCTCTTTGGTGCTGGGCCCTGTTTACTTCTACCTCCTAGTGGTTCAAAAGAACTCAGTTTTTCCCCATTAGGGCGCCCCGCGCCTACTAGGTTCCGCGTTTCCCCGCGGCAAACCAGAGGGTTCACCCATGAGGCGTCGGCCCTTCGAGGCCAAATAAGCTTTCTTGCAGGGCATTTTGCCATCAAATGGCCTGTGCTCTTGCAGATACAACATCTGCGCACAATTTGCTGCTCCGCAGCCTAAAGCTCAGCTTCTTCATCCTCCCCTTGACTACAGTCCATGGGTACAGCAGACCCATCAGACGAATAGTTATAAGTGGCAGGCCTAGCGGCTTTAAAGTTGATCTCAAATTCCATGCCACTCCAACAGCTTCCTCCAATAAGGAAGGGTTTACCCGGAAGACTTCCATTCTGGCGACGCCGACTCGGAGGCCCTCCATGAATACCGTGACGGTCACTGCCTCAGGCATAGGGTCTATGACCATGGCAGCAATGAGAGTTCTCAACTCTTGCACATATGCCGCAAGCTCACGCTTGCCTTGGCGACACGGCAAAAACCGCGACTGATTATGGTGTACTTGGTTTGCGGTGCATACTGCCGGGTCATCTGAACTTTCAGATCGGCCCATGTGGGAAAAGCATCTTGCAGTGATGCACCACATGTGAATGCCCACTGTTTGGCTAATCCACCTAACTTACCCGTGGCAAATACAACACTGTACGGTTCATAAGCGATGTCAGCTATAAACATAGCCGACTCAACCTGTCGGAACCAAAGCATAAGGTTATCACCTTCTTTGCCGTCGAACTTATCGACTTCCATTTGTATGGTTTTGGTCTGCGGACTACTTCTTGCGCCATAGTCGCCATGGTCGAAGGTGCAGAAGAAGGCATCTGTGCCTTTACATGATCGACTAGAGCTTTATTATACTCATCAAGCATATTAATACGCTTGTTAACCTCTTCTTCGCCTTGGGCGATAATGTATTCCACACCCTTACGGCCAAGGATAGGGAGCAGCTTCTGCAACCCTTCCTGTTGTGCCTGTGACAGGAGAACCGCTGACATCCTCTTCGATGTCCATTCTTACACAGAGAAGTATTCGCAAACCCAGGTGCGGGATTGACTACAAGTGCTACCAGGTGTAGCCGAGCTACTGTAGCCAAGCTACTTATGCACTACGTGCAGAGGAAGACAAGCTCAGAGAGCTTATACGTCTTAGGGTGCTTAACCCTTCCTAGGCTAGCTCGTAAGCTTGTGCCTATCGGTTTTTACAACCGGGTCTCAAAGAGACTAGTATCAATGATACGATTCCTCAGGAGGAATAGGAGGCTCAAGCAGTGATGCTTATAGAGCAGGTTTGAACTGATTTATTTATGTTTATCTTCTAACACTAATATAGAAGATAAACATAAATACTTAGTGGTAGTCACTATTACTGCTCTTTAGCCTTTTATTATTATGCAAACATGCATAGTCACTATACTTAAACAAGTATAGCGACCACGTGGCTCTCTGCCACGATGCGACCCTTCGTACTTCAGGTACGGTCACATCAAGCCTCCACACCCCATTGGTGTGGCAGGTGTGTATGTACAATACACACCTTACACCCGAACCAAGTAATTTTGAATAGGATGATCATAAAGACAGCTGTTTCAGGTGTAAGCTTTTCAGTTTTTGTCTGAGCATTTGGTTGCTTCTGCAACAATTTTGTCAGATTGGTGCTAACGAGTTGCTATTGTTTGTTTTTACAACTGTGCAAGACTTACAAACGCCTTGAAACGACAGAGCGCCCAAGCTGGTGACAAGGTGTGACGTTAGGGCAGAGGCGCATGGGAAGGACAACACACTTACATGATGACCTAGCAATACCTTACAGCTCAAGCTACGCGGAGCGCACGACATGATGGCCGGATAAATGGTGGTGCTCGAACACAGACATCTAGGATCAACGTTTCTTAGAGCTCTACACACAACACGTATTTTTAGCCGGTTCAAGTAGACCCGACCAATACCAAACACTCAGAACAACCGTTGTCGATCTCTTCACTACAGACAGTTGCATGTCTATATACGCGATCGCGGGTGACGGTAATTGCGCATTTCCTTAGGCAACGATGTTGAAACTAGATCTTCAAGGCTGTGAATACCGTATTTGTTTGGCGCTCCAGTACGCCACAGCTCACGGGCGTTCAGTTGACCGTCAGGATTCAGAAATTCCACACCCATATGCTGTTGGTGCCAGCGGATCATGAAGTCAATTCGAGGCGTGGGAAAGTTGCCTAGCATCTCCGCCATGTTCTTGAGGATGCATAGGCCGTATGGAATATCCTCCCAGAACAGACGCGAATGAATTGCAGGATGAAACTGACCCTTCGAAACCTCCATCAGCGGCGTCGAACAGCCAGCATAGCTCAGGTTTGTGCGAAAAATCTGCAACAGCGACGAACGATCGGACACATCCTTGCCGTAGTGCTTGACCACACGGTCTCCCATAGGCAGCACGTCCGAAAGGTCGAGCGCCGGAAAACGATGTAGTAAAGCAGACTTAACTTGCTGCAACTCGTTGTCTAGCATTGTCAGCTGCTCCGCAGAGAACTCGTCAAAGTCCGCATCTGTATCCAACAGCGGTCAAATTGAAAGCAACAAAATGCACAAAAACTAAGGCTACTTACAAAGTGTGAGGCCGTTGCGCTTCTCAAGCTCCTCGAGCGTGTAAGTCTTCTTACCATCCCAGTCACGGAATATCGCGTAATAGCGAGCCGGATGGATGATCTGGTTAGATGGTGTAAGAGTCAGATTCAAAAAGTTGGCAACTGTCTTGCAAGGAATATCAAATAGCGTTTGCATTAACGTCGCGGCTTCATCCTTGCGCTCAACAGGGTAGCAGGCCACATATAAGCACTGCTTTGGGCCAATGATACGACACTTATGGCTGCAGATCACAAGCATGCAAAATCGTCAGCCACCTCAAACACAGATAAACTATGTAGCAACTAAGGTTTCTACCCGTATTTTGTCGACTTGCAGATCCATGGGATGTTTTGCAGACCAAACAGCTATACATGACAGCAGTAAATAATAACAAAGTTAGCCACAACAAAAACGGTGAGCCCAGCGAATAATCATCTTGCCCGTACCAAGTCCACAATAGCTAGCTTTTCTTCTCCAAGCGCTTTCCTAGAGGCCCAGTCAAAGCCACCTTGGGCAAAGAGCGCGCCCAGTTTGACCCCCTTTTTGAGGTACGGCGCCACGTGCTCAAGGATGGCCGGGTGAGCGTTTGCGGGTGCAGCCACGATGACCACGTCCGACTGCGGGATAACGTGCTTAGCGTGCTTGGAAACAAGACTCAGGTGACCTGTTAAGATGCCTTTGAACTCCCAACTGCTGCCGGTCGTGCTGAGCTCCAGCGTCTGAGACCAGCGTTGCGGCTGGCGCGTTAGCACTTGCACACGTACGCCTTTGAAAGCCAAGTAGACGGCTGCCACGTGTGCGCCATTACCGCCACCGCAGATGGTAACAACACCCACAGCTGGAGAGACAGAAGGAACAAGTTGCTGAAGCTCGACACGGGCGGTCGCCACAGAAAGAGTCATGGCAAAAATTAATTTGGCAATTGAAAACCATAACATTTCACAGAATATGTATACATCCGGATATAAATATCTAGGTTAATGTTTATTTCTTGACATGTTATTAGTGCTCATCAATGTTAGCTAATCAGCTTAGTAGTGATGGATGTGTTGGACGTCATGTGAAAATGCAGAAAATACTCAAAGTTGTTTGGTCGACAAAATTATCATCGTCTTCCACTGCAACTAGCGGAGTAACACCGAAGCCTGCTGGTGTGTCTCGGCCGTCACGCGGATGGCAAACAGTTCGTTGAACTCATCCTTGCTAAAGGCAAAAGCCACTGCCTTGTCAATCTGCTCAATGGCGCGAGAATACTCCTGCATTGCCATGTATACCTGAGCAAGATGGCAGTATGCAAACTTCGAACGAGGACACATCTCCACAGCCTTCTCGAACAGACCGAGCGCCTGGCGACCGTACTCTGCGCCCTTTTGGACCAACAAGTTACCCTGATTAATGTATGCCATCGGGTACGATGGGTCCAGCTCGATCGCTTTCTCAAACATTTCCTCCACAGTCTTCAAATCAACACTACTGCCGGGGGTCTGTAGCATCTGCATGTATGTCTCCCCCATGTAATTGTAAATTTCCGGCACATCGGGTGTGATGCGAGCCGCCGTAGTAAGATACTCCAACGCACCCTGGAAATTGCCGTTACGGGCATGGGTAACGCCCAATTGAATGTAGGCCATGGCAAAGTCGGGCGCAATGCTAATGCACTTCTCTAGATCATTCAAAGCTGCCGCCATAGACGATTCATTACTGGTTCCATCTGGTGATACGTCAATAGAATGAAGCTGGCCACGGTGAAAGTAGGCCGTAGAGCATTCTGACTTCTCAGCCAAAGCCTTGTCAAACCAATCAAGCGCCGTCTTCAGGTCTTTTTGATCAAAACAAAGACCACCCATGCGAATTTTCGCAAAAATGGAGTGGGGTTTGGCATCAAGGGCCTTTTTGAATGACTTACGAGCAAGCTCAAACTCGCCACAAAGGTGATGGTACGTTCCGTTCTCAATCTGGGCCGTATAATAAGCTTTGTCTTCAGGGCGAACGATCTTACAGGCAGCGGCCAGGTCCTTGGCAGCCATGTCATAGTCTTTCTCTTTCTTCAATGCAAGTCCCCGCTTCGTCAGTAGTAAACAACGCTGCGAACGAACGTCATCTCGAGCTCCTAGGGTCTCTAACTCAATCGTGTACTCCTCTGAAGATTTTTCAGCAACAACATCGTTTTCGTCGTCACTCGAATGAAATGATGAGTAGTACGACGTCACAAAGAACTGGTCGGGCAAATAGCGCACAGGGTTCTGCTTGTTCTGCTGTGCATCCTCGATCTCCTTCACGGTAATCTCGCTGTGGATACGGCTAATTTCTTGAGCTAAGTTTTCATCCACCTGCTCCTGCTTCTCCTCGGAGATCACTAATAGACACACGTAATCCACAAGCGATCGACGCAAATCCCCCATATTGGCTCTAGCTTTCGCCCGGCGCAAATACGACTTTTGGTGTCTATTGTCCAAACTCAGGGCCTTGGTACAGTCAAAGACAACGTTTGCGTAATCGTGTAGCTTTTCGTAGGCTGCAGCGCGGTTCGAGTACATGACTTTAAGGTTGCGGGCGTCAAGCGGCTGCAGCTGCTCACATTTGGAGATGGCGACAGAATAAAGCTCGACGGCCCCATCATAATCTCCAGACTTGTATTTCTTAGTGGCTAGTGTGGCTTCCTGCTCTCCCACATGTACTACAGGTGGGGGCTTAGGAGCATCTTGGGGGGGGCAAACCCTCCGGTACCTTCTGCTGCGCTGTGGCAAGCTTAGCCTGAGGGGAAGACAACGATGGAGACTGCTTTGTATCCTGTTTCTGCTGCTGCTGATGATGATGATGCTGGCGATTGCGGTACATTCCAACGCCCACAAAGACGCTGATGGTAGCAATGGACGCCAGCACCGCCAACTGGAGGAAAGCTCGCTGTTCCATATCTCGGCCTCAAATTTAAAATGACTTGGTATTTGTATTAACAAACTGTCAATGTGTCAAACGCAGCTCGTAAAAGAGTAATTACAGGCAATAATTAGGGTCACACATGCCAAACAAATTGGTCTTTAAAAATGGGACCATAACAATTCAAAAACATCACTTGGCTCTTTTATGTTTGAATAGTCCTTTGACAAATGAATGGCCAAAGTCAGTTGGCTGGTCATACGCTGATGCGATCAACTGGTAAGGTTTAAGCTCAGTTTTGAAACACTGCAGTGATCCATCGGTCGTGAGCAAGTTACCTCTTTGTTTTTCCTCAGCAAAAAAGAATGTCTGACGCCACTGTGAACCCCAAGGCCTATCCACTGGCGGACGCTAAGCTTACTGTGTCCATCCTAGATCTGGTCCAGCAAGCTACCAACTACAAGCAGATTAAGAAGGGTGCTAATGAAGCCACCAAGACACTAAATCGCGGTATTTCCGAATTTATTGTCATGGCTGCTGACACGGAGCCCCTGGAAATTCTGCTACACCTTCCGCTGCTATGTGAAGACAAGAATGTACCATACGTGTTTGTGCCTTCCAAGGTCGCCCTGGGCCGTGCTTGCGGAGTGTCGCGCCCCGTGATCGCGGCTTCAATTACGTCCAACGATGCCTCGCAGCTAGGACCGCAGATTCAGAGCATGCGCGAGCAGATCGAGCAACTCCTAATTTAACCGCCTTGACTGAGTGCCAGCAGTTCTGTCAACCACCGAAGTCGATGTTTGCAGACTTAGTCCAGCGAACCGATAAATGCTGAAATACTAATCTCAATCTCACGCATTTGCACTCATTTTAAACAACTCGATCGTGTATGATGATCGCTTTTTATTGCTGAAGCAGTTATTTTCTAGGTTGCACATATTAGTACGTATTCGCGTGTACTCTCCCCGAATTTAAGCACGTCCTTCTCCTTGAGCTCGATGTAGCGAGAACCTTCGATTTTACATCCATTTAGAAAAGTCGAGTTGGTGCTGTTCAGGTCCATAATGTAGGGTCGCACTTCTTGCTCGAATCCGAAGCCATCCTCAGTCTCTCTCTGATACATCCGGTACTGCAACACAGCGTGTTGCTTTGAGCACGATGGATGCTCCGTCAGGATGTCAGCCACAGCACTATCACGTCCGACAAGAAATGCGCTCTTGCGATGCACGTGAAGCGTCGCTGGGATAACCACACCAAATCAATTAAACCAATGCCTCACACCAAACAAACGCGTGAGTCTTACCAATATTCTTGTCTTCCTTAAAAACATACAACCGATAGCGTTTTGTAGGCTGTCGAGCTTCAGGAGGTTCCGAAAACTTAATGACCACGCCATTCAATGTGTTTCCCGTCGTTTGGTCTTTAGCCAACGCGCCTGTGAGTCCAAAATTGGGCTTCTCTACCTCAACGGGCTCCTCTTTTTCTTCATCTTCTTGCTTTCCCCCCCACCTACATGTAATCATGAAGCCACACAAAGATACACAGTCTGTTAATATTACCAGCCATCCAACTGCATCTTTAATGCAATTAACCCACTGGATTAAGTGAGAAAAGTCGCGTGTCTTCTTGTCTTCATTGCGCTGACGACGGGGTGGCGAGCAAATGTGTTCTTTCTGCTGCTGCTTTTGTCTTGTACGTCGTAGTAACGACTTGGATCTAGATCGTGATCTCTTCTGCCAGCGGTTATTGCCAGACGACCGACGCAGTGGAGACCGGGACCGAGAGCGACGGTTATGACGGTGCATCATCACAATGAAATTAACCCTTTGAAAACCAATTCATTTCGTAAGCAAGTTACATCTCAAAATAAAACAAAAGACAATGGAAATGACAGACAAAGTCAATGACACCGGAATTAAATCTGAGGCTTTAGTAGAGCGTCACAAAACATTGGCGCAATTATTTGATCAGATGCGACTGCACGAAGCAATGATAGCGATGAGTAGATGGCATTCTGGTAAATTACATTCAGAAATAGTGCTGGCCTTTGTCTGTGTCGCCCACTCGCCCTCGTGCCTCCTCCACTGCGTAGATCTCTACAGTCAGCTCCCAGGCAAGCAAGTAGCGTTTGTATCTCACTGGATCGAAGCTGCTGTGGCGTTAATAAAAATATGTAGAAATCCGCAGATCTCCTCGAGTGACAGTCGACTGGCTGGCTCCATGCTACCCGCTCTCAAGCGCGCCCGAATACCGTTCGTAGCTGACTTTGCTCTCGCCTACCGAGTGGGCGAAAAAGATCTCACTGCCTTCTGCTACACTTTGGTCAAGATTCGCGTGGAGTTGGCTTGTAGCTTCATGAGGCACCTCAGGATGAAGCATCTGTTGCCGACGGAAGTGGTTCTGGATCACGTCATTAAGCAAAAGGACTTTCGCACAGGCGACATGTTTGTTAAGGGCCACAGAGAAAATCAGAAAAAGTTTGTGCAGATGATGATCGACTACGATGTGCAGGACAAAGTGATAAAGAAACGTGTTACGCTGTTTAAGTTGAAGGCCAGCACCTTTCCAGTCTACTTTGAACGGTATGACATTCGGATCTGGAAGGAGGTTTTAACCCGTAACTTACAATGTGCTGTTTATGTATAATAAAGGCGACAGAAAGCAACATTGCGATTTTTGATTTACTCAAAAGAGTACGAACAAGCGCTGCAATTTGTCGAGGACTCGGCAGACCTCAAATTCTACGCATGCAAGATGATCGTTCGCCACGCTGGACCGGAAGAACCTGCCACCAAGCACTTTATTTTTCGAGCGGGGATGGCTGATCAATTTTCCGAGGTTGACACTAGTGCGGAGGACTGCGAGCATTTTAAAAATCAGGACGAGTTGACTCCGCTTGGCACGTGCCTGTCATTGGCTAGTGCCGTCAATGAAGCTAACATATTCTTTGTGGATACCCCGGCGGCGCTGCAGACATGTGCTGATTATCTTATGAGCCAGCCAGCTGTTGGCTTTGACTCGGAGTGGAAAGCAGTCCACATTTCGACTGGCTTAGATGGAGGTCCCGCCAAGTGTGCGCTCGTGCAGCTAGCCTCCCGTGAAAAGGTATTTGTTGTGGATGTGATGGCGCTGTACAACCATGGAAATATCTTAGCCCCAGTTTTTGAGTCAGACTCAGTGGTGAAGCTAGGGTTTGATACAAGAGGTGATGTGAAAGCACTTCGTTCTTTTTTGACGGGAAGGTATGCCACCGACAACGTCATGTCGATGCTTGTGGACCTACAAACTGTCGCACGAAAGCTTTTTGCGATAGAAGGTACCGCTGTTCCAGATATTGGGTCGATAGATGACGTCAACAAAGGTGAGAACATTGACAAAAGCGAAGTGTCGATAGCCGAGCAGAGTGTCAATAGCTCGGCATCGTATTGCAAGGTGTCGGGATCTGAGAAGAAACCAAGAAAATGGAGGAAAAGGTACAGCACAACAAGTGATAGTCGTACAAGCGTGAAGCTTTCTGGTTTGGGTCTGGCAGCAATTGCAGAAACCTATTTGGGTTTGCCACTTGACAAGCGTGCGCGCATGTCGGATTGGGAACGTCGCCCACTCACACAAGCTCAGCTTCACTACGCTGCTTTGGATGCGCACGTGCTTATCCAGATCTACTATAAAATGCAAGAACAGCATCAAATTGATACATTCGAGGCGGTGGTAAAAGGATGTACGCAAAAACGTGTCAAGTAAATAGCAGCAGTGGAATTGGTTTCCAAAAACTTACATAAAACGGCCATCGCTGAGTTCCGCCGGTAGCTCTTTAGCTCTGCATTGAAGAGGTTGTACTTTGATTATCTCCAGAGACAATTGGCACATGCACTTTCTTATCAAAGTTTTTTAAATTTTGTCTCAAGTGTGCTTTGAAGATTACAATATATTACAAGAGATACTTAGGTAATTGTGATAAAAAAGAAGGCTGTTCTATCTGATTCCGCAAGGTCCGACAATTCTTTTAACATGCGAAAACAAAATCGAGTCATATTGCAATGTGCAATGTGCTCAAGTATCTATTGACTCATGAAGCTTGTAAAAGCATCTGCAAAATCGACCTGACCACTTTCTATGCAAAAGAAATGCTGCTGTAGAGCTTCTGGTAGCGCTGTTACTTTCAGGAAAAAATCGTTGAGCTTCTTTTGAAGCTCTTCCTTCTCCTGCAATAGCAACGCAGCCGGACAAAACAATTGACGCATAAAACATTTCGTAAGCAAGTAAAAATTCATTCCATCACCCCGATAATACCTTACCTCGGTAGTCTTCCGCAGTTGATGTGCAGAGTCTTGCAGCTCACCCTCGATGCGGGACGTTTTCTTTACCAGCTCAAGCTGCAGCTCCGCGATTTTTTTCGTTAAGCTCTTTCTCTTTTTTCTCAGCATTTTTGATTGTCTGTGCTAGTGTATCCACGATCTCGGTGCGATTCGCCATCTCGCGGCGAACGGCACTTTCTAGTTCATCCACCTTTATTTCAAGCACTGCCTTTTTGCTTGCTGTGTCCTGCTGGGTGTGTTCTAAGACAACTAACTTCTCTTGTAGCTCACCATTTTGACGTTTCATCTCATTTATCTTTTCTCGAAGCCATTTAGCCTCACTCCCATCAACTTTTGCACGAGCGGCCTTGGCTTCGTGCATCTTTTGCATAGTCTCCATGTCTCGCGCCATTCCAGTGCGCAATTGAGTTTCCTCTTGCTTAAAATGCTCCACAAGAGCCATCTTCTTGTCTACGAAGTCCTTTTCAAGCTGAAGCCGCAATTCTTCTAGGCGAGACTCGCTAACTTGCTGCGTCACGATATTTTCAAGCCGCTGAAAGGCGTCGATAGCATCGCGCTGGTAGAAGTCGCGAAGCACAGAAGCTTTCTCTGGACCTCGTGCCTTCTCACTATATTGCTTATCGAAGTCTTGAATCGCAGCTAACACTGCAGTAAACGTGCTGCCATCTTGCGACTGTGTGGCACGCGCATAAACTTCTGCCCACAAAGTACGTCGCAACTCTTCACAGAATTCACGCGACGTTTGCGTTAGAATGTTTAATTCAGTGTCGTAGTGTGCACGAAGGTCAGATTTAAGTTTACGGCGCACAGTTCGGTACCTCGTAGATTTATATTTGCTTGCTGAATAGTAGAAGTCCATACTTAAACGCCAAATTTCTTCATGTAGTTGCGTAAATGCGTTTAGCTCCATGGGTGGATGCTCTACCACAGATGAATGCACGCAATCTGCATATGTGGATACTGCGTCTTCAGCCAAAAGACGACACTTGTCCTCCACAAAGTCGTCCCATGCAGTTCCAAGGTCTAATGGCTCTTGCTGAAATACCTGGGCTGACAGCTTGCGCAAGAAAGCGACCAACATTTCCCCAGTCATCTCTATCCCAAACAACCTCTTAATAGTTGCATGCAAGCCACAAAGCTCATCATAATTCATTTGTGCCGTGGTATAAACAGAAAAGAGCCCCACTTGCTTAAACCTGATAAGACTCTCAAGCGCTTCAACACTAGATAGTCTCTCCTCCTTTTCCGCATGTGTCACCTTGTCCCCGAGCAAGCAATTCGAAGATAAGTTAATATCCATTATCTTAGGCAGCATCTCAAATACTTCCAATGAAGAATAATCTCTCATTAAAGTTTGAAAAAGTGACTGAAACTGAGGCAATAAGGGAGCGGCAATGTACTCCGTGGATTCGATCTCATTGTAACACGAAAGAACTAATGACGACAGCGCACAGAAAGCGCCAAGAAGCTGCTCAAGACTGAATCCCGTATCTGAAGTGTTGACATCCAGTATCAGTACCTTCAAATCTTCATCAACGCACGTGACAGTAGCCAAGAGTAGGAGACCATCGCCGGTTGAGGCTGCTACATTTCCATCATCCTTTCCCAACAGTTTAGCCACGAATTTTCTTCTTTCTGCGCATGTTGATGGAGACCCAATCAATAGAACTACGGCAAGACGATCATCATGCAGCTCCTGTTCTAATAAATGTGCACCATCAGTTGTTAATGAACCGCACGCATCGACTAGCTTTTGTGCACGCCAAGTGGCCTTCATTTTGTGAAATTTGTAAAACACATGAATTTCATTAAATACGAATTTTTAATCACTTCAACTTGAATGTCACAAAAATTGTTTTTACATAAAAAGCTCCTAATCTTTTGTTTCTTCAGAAAGACACGACGTAATAGATATCCCAATATCTCGTGCATCGCTTTTCTTTAGTCGATCTAGAAGCTCTTTCGTATTAAACTCAAATACTATGGGATTCCACTTACCGTCAAATGAAGATGCATCTTGTTGTGTTCCACGCTGTAACAGTCAGATTTTGTATCCAAATATTTTTTAGTTCAGTAAGTCAGACAATTCAGTTATCACACACCCTTCCAAACACTGTAGCAGTCTGCACCTTCATAGAAAACGAACGTAGTAAACTGGTGACACTCCTGCTTGGATCAAAAACTGGTCCAGCAGCTCGACCAACGCTCTCCATACGCTTTTCAAGCTCCCGCGTGGTCTGCAGCATCCGTCCCACAAAGCGCTAAACATAGTCATAATAACACACACTCACAGTTGAATCACTATCCAAGGAAAATCAATCTGAAACTTACAATAAGTACTCACTTCAATAAGATTTACACGTAGAAAAATATCTTCAAGCTCGTGGCAATTGCTTAAGAGTTCGCTCAACAACTGCTCTTGAACCTTCTGCACGTCTTGCCGCACCATTTCAGCTGCTGCACACGCTTCATCAATTTTAAACAGCGCAAGACCAATGCGTTCATCTTCAGTCTGCGTATACTGCGCTGCCTCGTCCAGTAGCTCTTCGTAGTCGCTGCATAACGCCTGGAATGCACGCTTCAAATTATCGTCTCCCATGGCTTGAGGACGAGCAATATATTGCGATAAGTTAAGATAATGACTTGTCACTATTCTATTTACTGAATCTTTTGGTTGGCCTCCATTGAGTTTGGCTTTAGAATTATTGCGGCCTCTCCTGTAAAGCGGCTGCTTTCTTCTTATACTTGACGACTAGAGACAATGACGATGACGGAATCGAACCCACCAGATATAACACCAGAACAAAAGAAAGCGTGGGAATCTTCCTCGGATTTTGCCAACTACTTTTGCACGTACGCGTATATTTACCACCAAAAACAAATGCTATCGGATGATTTGCGTATGCAGAGCTACCACGAGGCCATTTTTGAGAATCCCAATCATTTTAAGGACAAAGTAATACTGGATGTAGGAACTGGCAGCGGTATTTTAGCCATCTGGGCAGCTCAGGCTGGGGCCCGTAAGGTTTTTGCTGTGGAGGCGACGGATATTGCAGTGCAGGCTCGCAAGGTAATCAAAGCAAATGGACAGGACCACATTGTAACTGTCATTCAATCCAAGATAGAAGATGTACAACTACCCGAGAAAGTAGATGTAATCATTTCAGAGTGGATGGGATACTTTTTGCTCCGTGAATCCATGTTCGACTCAGTCATCGTAGCTCGCGATCGTTGGCTCAAGGCAGACGGCGCCATGTTTCCATCCCATGCCAGCATGTCAATCGCTCCCATGTGCAATGAGGACAACAGCAATAAGCGCTTTGCTGAGTTCTCATCCGCTATGGACAGATGGCGCAGCTTTGTGGACAACACTAAGGCGGCCTGGGGCGTAGACATGGGTGTGCTGGGCAACGCCTTTCGTAAAGAGCAGGAGCAGTACTCGCTGCATACTTCGTCGTGGGAGGAGCTTAACGCCAAAGACCTCATTGGAGACGAAAATGAGTTTGCCAAATGGGACCTCAAGAACTGCACCCTCGACGACATTAAAGAAATCAAGGCGTCCTTCTCCATGCCCATCTCTATTATGTCCCGCTTTGGTGGCATCGCTGGGTGGTTTGATGTTGACTTCAAGGGCTGTGTGGAGAATCCGGCAATGAAGGAGGTGACGCTCACTACATCGCCGTTCGTGCAGCCCACGCACTGGGGTCAGCAGGTTTTTCCACTTTACCCGCCCGTTCAGGTGTGCGAAGGTGACGTGGTGATAGGCGACATTGCCGTCATGCGTCGTGCGGACAACCAACGCCTCATGAATGTCAAGTTTAATTTTCGAATTCGTCGTCCCGAGGACCCGGACGAGAGCATGTCGAGTCCCTATAACTCGGCCGTCTTCCAGATTGAATAACACTCAACTAATAAAACTTTATTGTTTGAATTGCAACATTATGTCGAAGTCATCAGGAAACGATGCCTTGACGTTGATATCCTTGCTCCATGCTACTAATACACTATAAAAGATCACTTCGTATTTGTTACAAAAAATGATGCCGACGACGTTCGACTGCGAGCAGCACGCACGCTACTTCCTCGCAAACTTGCGTTTACTACCGGCGCCTTACGCGTCTCAGGACTCACAGCGCGTGGTCTTGGCCTTCTTTTGTATTCACGGACTGGCGTTGCTAGGGGAATTAGAGCGCGTGGATCGACACCAGGTCATTGAGTGGGTGTATAGCCTCCAGGTGCCTCCGGATCGCCATGACGCTAGCCTTAATGCCGGTGACTGTGGCTTCCGAGGTGGCTCCTACATGGGAAACGTCTTCGGTTGCCCGCCATGCGAATACGAGAGTGAAGAGTACGACTGGGGTAATATCGCGTCGACATTCGCTGCACTCTGCATCCTCCGCACCCTTGGGGATGATCTCAGTTGTGTGAATAAAGCAGCAATTATCAACTCGCTCAAGCACTTGCAGAACAAGAAAACAGGATGGTAAGAAATCTTGCCAGTACCGGATGCGATAACAGCACTTGTTGACTCTGTCGTCCATCTTCTGCAGCTTTTCATCCGTAAACATGGGGTTTGAGGAAGATATGCGCTTTGTTTACTGCGCATGTGCCATTTCCTATATTCTGGACGACTGGTCTGGCATTGACTTGACGGCGATGGTGCGCTTCATTAACTCGTGTCTGGTACGTTCGAGCTGAGATTGCCACCTGTACAGCACTGATCAATGTTGTCTGCAGAACTATGACGGAGGCATCGGCCTTAATGCTGGCGCCGAATCGCACGGTGGAGCTGCTTTTACTGCAATCGCTTCGCTTTCCTTGTCAGGACAGATGGCACAGCTCAATTGCGAGCAATCGGATCTTGTGCGCTGGCTGGTGTTCCGACAACAAGGCGGTTTTCAAGGACGATGCAACAAGAGCCCAGACTCTTGCTACGCTTTCTGGAATGGTGCAACTCTAGCTTTGTTGGGCAAAAACTCACTCGTGAATATTCCAAGCTGCAAGCAGTTCATCTACTCGTGCCAGTTTTCCTTTGGCGGACTGTGCAAGTATCCCGACACTGTGCCGGACGTGATGCATTCTTACCTCAGCCTTGCGTGGCTAAGCATTGCGGCGCATGAAAGTGTTAGCACAAGGGAAGATGAAGCAGGATGTAAGCTTCCTAAACTTGTCGCGTTAAACACTAAGCTTCAAGTTCCAATCTTTCCCAAGTTGCCAAGCAAGTCAACGAAGCGAGGCAGTATATGAGCGAAGCGCAATGGCAGGGGGCAATGGCATGTAAGCATAAGTGGCGATGTAGATCTAGGCAGGTCTTAGCAACAAGTACTTTCGTCTGCTAATGTAGTTACACTCGGTGCTGATTCATGGGTTGGGCCGCACATTGCGCTCCTACGTCAAAATATCGACGCCGCTTTCTGTAATCAACACCGTGTGCTCCGCTTGCGCCGATCTTCCGCCGTCTGCCGTGGCTACAGTCCAACCGTCATCCCAGTGAACAATCTAGCATCAAACACGAGTAATCATCTTAAGGACAAGTATCTATCATGTCCATCACAAATAACGTCTTACCTTCGGGCTGCCTTCCGTCAGCGCCGGCTCCACTGTAAATGCCATGCCCGGCAGCATCTTACCCGGCTTATTATTACGGTGGTGTAAAATGAAAGGTAGGCAGTGGAACTCTTTGCCAATGCCATGACCAGTGTATTCCCGTACAACATCCAGTCCTTCCTGGGCTGCCAGCGTCTGCACAAAGTCTCCGATCGTCGCGAAGCGATTAAGCGGCTTGCAACATTGCTTGATGGAGCCTAATAGCGCCTTGTTGGTTACATCCACCAGGTGTTTCCCGGCATTGTCCACGCTTCCCACCAAGAAAGTCTGCGAGGTATCCCCATGGAATCCGTTCAAAAAGACGGAGACGTCAATGTTGACGATGTCTCCGTCTGCAAGCGGTCTGCTGTCAGGAATGCCGTGAACCACAATCTCGTTTACGGAGCAGCACACCGCCTTGGGAAAGCCGCCATAGTTAAGAGGAGATGGGTAGGCACCACGCCGCACGATCTCTTCATGCACAAGGCGATCGATGTCTTCCGTCGTAGCTCCTGGCTGGCACAAAGGCTTGGCAAACTCGCGAATATATCCAGCTAAAGCACAGGCGGCACGCAGTCGTTGCTGCTGCTCAGTATCTAAGATAGGAATAAAGGGCTTTAAGTCCGACATGCCACCGCTTGCCGCGTACGGAGGGTGGACAATAGTCTTGGGAACGGAGCGTGGTGGCGTTTGGTGGCCAACGGCCACACGCGGGCGACTGGCAAAGCGCCCGAAGTACCGACGCATGGCAAGAAAGAGGTAAATGGATAATTGCAACGACGTTGGAACGAGAAAGTATAAATACTTGCAAGAAGAGATGTGTTGAATATGTCGATAATGATTAAACTGTCTGTCTTAATATTGTGGTGGCTCTACCACTACTATTTGGTTAAACAACGGCCGCCCCGAGAAAGCAAGCGGGCGAGGATAGGAGACACAGCGATGGTAAGAGCACCTCTAGCTGGGCCTGTGGCTACAGTTGAGAGGTAAGCAAGTGCCAACGTACCGGCATCTGGGTCCAGGTTAGATAGATCCACAAAAGGCACGCGCTTTGCCAGCGACTGAATATCGAAGCCCTGATTAATGGCCACGTAGGAGCTGGCGAGGGTCGAGACGAAGACGGTCGAGTGGAAGAAGAAGGCGGTGCGCCCGTAGCACTTAAACACCTGCTTAATGCGAGTGGCCATATCTGAGTTTTAACTTGGATCTCGTTTTACGAGGCATATGACGACACGAAGTAATTTCTGGACTGGTGCTTACCGCCGTATCACACGATTTGGTGATAGTATTGACTCTGTCGCAACGACGGTTATTTCTAGTGAGTAACGACATGAGACGCTACTTAGTGAGATAGATGGTAGCATGATGAAAGCAACTAGACTGTACAGTGACGCTGATAGACGAAGTCTACCTCATAAGTACTCCTCTTGCAACTTTTAACGCCGCCTATTGTACTGAGTTGCCACCTCTTTGCTCCAAACTAATCAGAAGCGACTTTGTGTCGATTGCTCACGAGACCTTTCGCCCAGATCTGACAAGCTCAGCATTGTCACAAGTATGCGAAGGTATCATTAAGCTGTTCTACTTCGTAAAAGGCTCTCGCTGAGTCCACGATGGTGATATTAAGCTGCTTCACTTTGTAATAGGCTCTCGCCTTTTTCCATCCGTTTTTGTAGATGTTAATGTTGACGTTGAGTGAGACATTGGACGTCATCGCTTTATCAGACATTATCACTTTATCGGACATCATCGCTTTATCGGACATCATCGCTAAATTGGACATCATCGCTATATTGGACGTCATCGCGTTATCTCGATGATGTCCGATATAACCCTCGTTGGTACGACAAGGTACAGCCATACCTTTTGGTGTGGTTGAATGTATTATAATATACAAGGTACCATGGCACCTGTATACTTAGTGAATATGACTAAGTATAGAGTAGGTGCTTTTAAAAAGATAGACATAGATTGAATTAGCTTAAAACTACTGCGTATAGCATTTGTTGCTAAAGTAGGGTCCTGTGGAAAGGAAGTTGTATCTTAGATACTGGCCTCATTGAGACGCGATTATTTAAAACCAAAAGGTGCAAACTTGTAAAGCAAAATAGCCTTGAGAGTTAAGAACCCTGAGACATAAAGCTCCTAGAGCTTGTCTTCCTCTGCACGAAGTGCGTAAGTAGCTTTGCTACGACAGCTCTGCTACAAATATTGAAATTCCTATTCTGTACTTAAGAGTTGTCACCATATTGAACTAGCTTTGAACCTTCCTACTATATATACATGTATATATAGTTATTAAATAAAGTACTATGGTCCCTCTGTAGCCTTCTAATGTGTAAACATGTGTATTTATAACACTTAAGCTAAGTACAATGACCACGTGGCTCTCAGCCACGATGTGACCCTTGTACCTTGGGTACGGTCACATCAACTCACCAGTGTGCCCAAAGTACATTCACACCACTGTGGTGTGGCAGGTAATCCACACCTTGTGTAACCCCAAATGCGGTGGAGTGGGCTCTCAAAACTGTGTGATTTTCAGCGAAGATTGAACCAGCTGTCGCGAAGGTCCTCCAGATACGATACGATTAGTCGCACGAACTTTCTAGATAACGCTTCATTCGTATTTGCGGATCCAGCTTTGTTCGAAATCGCTGAGTAGGTACTTAGCGATGTGGGCTCTCCATTGCTACTTCGATGGCCGACATGATGTTCCACAAGAGCGACAACCTTCAGTGACGTGAGCTAAACAAAGACGGCCCTCAAATCTTCTCTCGCGCAGTGCTTCGAATGATTGGCACGGAGTTCCTCCCTGTCTGAGATCCATCCAGCGAGGCTTTCCCATTGTCTACCATCCGGTTCCACAGGCGGATGAATGCGCACCAAGCACGTTGAATAGAGTCGTTGAATACCCCGCTGATACTCTTTCCACGACGTTCACGAAACCGGAGGAAGTGATCACGCGTGATGTCTTGTGACTCTGGAGCAGTCGCGCCGGGCAATTTATGCAACGCTCACGGACCTAGTTCCTGGTCATTACATATCGGACTGGACGTTCTTTGATAGTCCGCTGCGGGTGCCTGCCGCATCTGTTGCTGTTGAGATACTCGTCGTGGCGCTTGGTTGGCTTTTGCTCATCTTGGCTGGTCGTGAGAATATCTGAGTGCACTCACGCAACCGTGCGTGCAAATAAGGGGGAGGGGTGAAGTAATGGGACGCGTCGCAGTTGCATCAAGAGGTAGTTTTTTTTGCATAATAATTTTCATAAGTAGGTAGGAGACACATGGATAGGATGTGTTAGAAGCAGGGGGATTGTACTCACCTTATTGAGCACAATCCTGGGCGTCTGTTCCTTATTGGCTGGTAGTCATTCGGGACGTGTCAGCCCCCGGTGAGGTCACTATTGAGATTTCTACTAATCTTCCGTATTATTTCAGTTACATTTGCATATTATTTAGTAGCGCTTCCTCGCTAATAATTGTGTTAAAGTAACGGGAATCCTTACCCCGAAACAGGTGGGTCGACTGAACAATTTTCTGATAATTGTGACGGAGTCGTGCCACGCAGATTGCATTAGTGAGCTGTATTTTGTATAGTCCTATCATTTAACTCCTTTCCCCTATCCTTGCCTTGTACCTTGGTTCCTATGTTGATTGACCAGGAATAGCTTGGTCCTCAGAGACCATGGTCGACCTTCAGAGATCGAGTTCTACCAATGAGGGACCGAAGTCGACCCTGATAGAGTGGGGGCTACCGATGAGATACTGAGGCCGACCTTGATAGACTGAGTTCTACCGATATAAGACCGAAGTCGACATTGAAATACTATGGTCGACCCTGATGAACTGAGGTCTACCTTGAGAGACCGGGGTCGAAAGTAAGGATACGAGGTATTCCTTTATTCCACTGGCCCTTAGGCTCTTTACATTTCAAAAGTGTTTCACCACAGCCTCCCCCTGCACATGCTAAACCTTACGGCGGTTTCATTCCGCGCATGTCCTCACACCTTATGTCACATCAACCCTGCATGTTTAATGTTGTATGGTGACCTTTGCTTTACTCCTCCATGTCATCACACCTTCTACCTTGGAATTTATTTAAATTTCTTTCTTTAACACCTTAAGCCGCCTTGCCTTGAAGGACCGAGGTCAACCTTGAGAGACCAAGGTCTACTGATGGTGGACCAAGTCAACCCTGGAGGACCAAAGTCTACCGAGAAAGAGCCTGGTTACCATTTAAAGACCCCGGCGCCGATGCTAGTACTCATGACTTTGCATCACTTCGAAGCGGTGTTTCTTGTGTACTTACGCCTGAAATCTCGAAGTAAGACCCCACAATTTAAATCCATCTCATCTACCCATGAGGGGTCTTCATGTCCTTTTAAACGAGCGAGAAACTCCCATTGCTGTCCTCCATAGCGTGTCGTCTTCCCGGTGCGGCACTCCAAAATACCCTTGACCTCGTACTCCTCTTCTTCAAGCTCTCTTACTCAGCTGTCCCTTGGCAACCGGCATCTGTCAAAGTCGACCCAATCTGTTCCGTCTATTTCCTGCATGTTACTTAGGCGGTCGGAAAGCTTTCTAACCCCCTTGAGTTTGTTAAGATTTACGATTGGTAATAATAACCTGTTCTATGTGCCTCGTGATCCAAACGTGCCTCGTACTCTCCCACCAATTTCAGAAGTCAAAAAGGTCCATGCCACAAAGGTGGGCCAATTCCTTGGCGTAAAATTCTTTATACGGTCCAATACGAGCCATACTTGGGTCCATGGATGAAATGTATGGTCGACCACCTCTTCGTCAGGTGCTTGTACCCAATCTTGACTGGCCGCCCGAAGGTTCTCATTCACTTGGGCTCTCGCTTGCTGATAATGTCGCTGAATACGATACCTCTATTTTATAGCCCACACTCTCGACGTCGAGCATCAACCGCCGGTGATGTAGCTTTGAGGGTGGTTCTAGCATCCAGACAAGGATCAGATAGAACAGGATCTCCTTCCGCACTAGTCTTGCGCAGTGTTCATCGCAACCGTCAAGCGTTCCTCATACTCATCCCAGTTCAGCTGTCCGACATCAGAAACATGCATATTAATGGATCTAGTCAGGGTATGAACCATCTTCTCCGCAGTACCGTTCGCCTGAGGTCGATACGCCATGGCCGCTTGCTGAAGCTGGCACATCATGGGACTAAACGCCCAATAGAAGTCCGACATATACCCTAGTTCTCGATCGTGGCGGATTGCTTCACTGGCACCAAAACGGCAAAAAGGCATTCCTCTTATTGTCTGGGCCTTCCGTGAAGAACTAGCCTTGGCCATAACTTATTCAGTAAAATGATCGACACAAATCATTTGCTCCATAATTCATTTGTACAGCATAGACAGGAAGGGGATGTGGTCCATTGCTATAATCTGGAAAGGGTACGTCGCTTTGACATTCGTTGGAGTAAAGTAGGTCCTATTTTCACAGTCTCAAGATCCACACAAGTACCTACATTACTCTGTACACTCCGGAACAGACCTATCTAATTGCAGTACCGCCAAATTTGGTGGTAGGTAGGTTCGACTCGTTGGTGACCGACTTTTAAACTTATGCAGAATGTCAGCTTGGAGACTTACGGGTATCAACAATCTGGCTGTCACTTCTCGGTCGTCTCCCTCGACCCTCTTTACACGGCAATTGACTAGTATCCCCTCTTCTCTTATCTCGTAATCCCCGGTCATTTTACCGCAAGATAAAGCAGATTCCACAGACAGGTCGACCCAATCTCCCTTCAAATATGTTTTCAGCTTTTGCACTCAATCTTCTTCTTCTTGTGCTTTGCGAATTCGATCCGCGCGGAGTCGTTGTATCACGTTCTCTTGCATGATATCCCCTGATATTCTAATGAAAAAGACTGCAAATATCTGGATTGTTGTAATCCTATTTATAGGTAAAGTCGGGTCTTTCGGTACTGGGTGGCGGTCCTACATAGACGACATTATTATACCGCTCGACTCGTGGGATACGTTGTGCAGAAAGGTGGAGCGGCTGTTAGATGTGTGTGAATATTGGAACTTATCAATCAGCGCGGTCAAGAGCTCTTGGGGGTGCCGAAAGGTAGACTATCTCGGTCACCGGGTCTCGGACCGAGGACGAGAGGCCCACCCAAAGGATCTCCGGTCCTTGGTCGACCTTTCATTGCC